AAAAGGTGGACTGTAAATGCAATAAATCAGGCATGTCCAAATTCAGGCCCGGGGGCCTAATCCAGCCTGCCGGTTGGGTTAATTCGGCCTCTGCAACAGTTAATTTCAATCCTAAAAGAAGCTCAACAACTTTAATCCTAAAAAAAGCTGAACAACTCTGAGGTAAAATCCTTAAAAAACAACTTTGGTCGACCCTCACGCATGTTCACTTCATCAAATCTAGCCCTCTTTGAAAAAAAGTTTGGACACCCCTACATGAATAAGCTATTTCACTCTTCACAAAGCGCCTTTTCAATAGCTCTGATAATTCAGTGACTTGAAGCTCTCAGCTCCTATGTTAACCATAGTTTGCTGTCCTCAATAATAACTTCTCCACCGTTTCCTATAATCTGGAGATTATTTACCAGAAGGGAACCAAAGCTGCCATGGGTGCTATTTATCACTTCATACAGGAGGGTTCCTGGCTACAGATGAGGATTCTTTCATTTTTATTCATTAATATATGGTTAAGTATAGCAGGGGTCTCCTGGCCTTTGGCCCTTAGCCATTGTTGGTGTGAGTAAATTTGCTTATGTCAACACAGGTCAAATTCCAAACCTCTTGCTACAAATGGGACCAGGCAGTATCTTCTATATGTCTTCATGGGTGGCATAAGGTCAGTTAACTGGAAAGATGCAAAACCTGCCTTGCCACTTGCTACGGGAAGAGGTAATATACTTTCTGCTTTATATGCCAGCCTTATCAGAGTGGACCTTCTTATCGGCACGAAAGCCTTCGCTCTGCTGCTTTGCGTGTTGTCTCGTTTTCCTTAAGACTGGCAAGCTTTATTATAACTTCATGACTGATTGTGTACACACTTGGAATGCCTGCTTGTTTCTGCATGCAGGTGAGGCTGAAAACAAGGCACCTTTTCCCCCTTTGTGAGTTTGCAGACATTTGGTTGTGACTAGTTTTGGGCCTTTGCCTAGGAGTCATCCATGCGGAGCTGACTGACCCAGGTCAAAAGCAGACGTTCTCCTCAGGGCAGTAGTAGAGCTATACAAATATTGTGTTTACTCAGCTGGTTGGACACATAAGAAGCAGGAAGGCAAGCAAATGGGCAGGGACTTGATAGAAGTATATACTAATTTTGTGTGGTGTGGAGAATTTAGAATTTGGTGAGGCTGAATTGGAAAATTCAGGTCGGAGAAAATAAAGCACTTCTTTGCACAGCACATAGGAGAACTGTGGAACTCAACTCCCACAGGACATAGTGATGGGCACCAAATTGGATGGCTTTGAAAGAAAGCTGCTTATGCGAGCTACACTTGTGTAATGTAGCTCTGTTTAAAAGAGTCAGAAGGTTTAGAAGACAGACATTAAGAGAAAAAGAAGATTCTTGAACCTTACCTTTGAAGCTGGAAAGAGAGAGGAGGGAAACAGTGCAATTTGTGGTCAGAGTAGTGTGATGAGATGGAATTTGATAATTCAGAGTAGGGCTTTCAGTGTGGTTGCCCCCGTTTTGTGAAACAGTATTTCTGTTGAAATATGGCAGGCACTCACCATTTGCACTTTCCATAAACAATTGAATCATTTTTTGTTCTGACAAGCTCCCCCAGCTGAATGAATAGGTTACTCGCCCTCACTTTGTACTGCACTTTTTAATTATGTTTTGAACATCACCCTGAGACACATGTGCGGAAGGTGAAATACTAATGATAGAGATGGTGTAGAAGAGGACATTTCAACTTTTCATTAACACTTCCTACTAAACGTTCTGTCTTCTACACAACTGTTAATGGCTCACAAATGTTGTACCACACCCTTTTAATGTGATTGGTCACTATACATGAGACAGGATTTTCTGCCTGGTTTGGTGACATCCTACAATTACTGTACTTTTCCATGTATAAGACGAGGGTTTTTTTACTGTAATATAATCATCAAAATTGGGGGTCATCTTATACACGGATAGTGCAGATGGGGGATTGGCGATTGGTTGGAGCCGTGAGCAGGAGCTTGTCAGCGGCGATGGTGTGTGTGATTGGTGGCTGCAGCAAGGGGTGCTTTGGATTGGGCATGTGATTGCAGGCTGGTGGTAGCGAGTGGGCAAATGCTTGTCTGCTTCAGCAATGCGTGATTATCAGCATCTCCCCCCCCCTAACTTTGGGCAATCCTCCCCCAAAAAAGCTCAACAACTCTGGGCCATTTCCCCCCCATTTTCTTAAATTGGAATCCCCCAAAATAGGGGGGGTGTTATACATGGGGGCGTGTTATACACGGAAAAATATGGTAATCCACATATTTCCGAACAGAACCTAAAATGTCAAGCATTTATTAAAGTGGCAATTAGTCCATTTGCATGGCACCTATTAGCTTGCATGGAACTCACAAACACACCAATGATGTGAGATGTCCCTGATATTTGCAGCTTTGTTGTTGTTGTCGTTTAGTCGTGTCCGACTCTTCGTGACCCCATGGACCAGAGCACACCAGGCACTTCTGTCTTCCACTGCCTCCTGCAGTTTGGTCAAACTCATGCTGGTAGCTTCGATAACACTGTCCAACCATCTCGTCCTCTGTCATCCCCTTCTCCTTGTGCCCTCCATCTTTTCCAACATCAGGGTCTTTTCCAGGGAGTCTTCTCTTCTCATGAGGTGGCCAAAATATTGGAGTCTCAGCTTCACGATCTGTCCTTCCAGTGAGTGCTCAGGGCTGATTTCCTTAAGAATGAATAGGTTTGATCTTCTTGCAGTCCATGGGACTCTCAAGAGTCTCCTCCAGCACCATAATTCAAAAGCATCAATTCTTCGGCAATCAGCCTTCTTTATGGTCTAGCTCTCACTTCCATACATCACTACTGGGAAAACCATAGCTTTAACTATACGGACCTTTGTTGGCAAGGTGATGTCTCTGCTTTTTAAGATGCTGTCTAGGTTTGTCATTGATTTTCTCCCAAAAAGCAAGCGTCTTTTAATTTTGTGGCTGCTGTCACCATCTGCAGTGATCATGGAGACCAAGAAATTAAAATCTCTCACTGCCTCCATTTCTTCCCCTTCTATTTGCCAGGAGGTGATGGGACCAGTGGCCATGATCTTCGTTGTTTTGATGTTGAGCTTCAAACCATATTTTGCGCTCTGCTCTTTCACCTCATTAAAAGGTTCTTTAATTCCTCCTCACTTTCTGCCATCAATGTTGTGTCATCTGCATATCTGAGGTTCTTGATACTTCTTCCAGCATCATATAAACCTTAGGGTGCTATCATATCCCTTTGATATGCATTCCATCCATATGTATGGCAGTTGCTGTACCATTCCCTACCTTCCAGCTAACATTTTCTATCACAATTAGGCTTGCCAGGCCTTATTTAATAGCACCAAACCTGTTTTTATGTGTAGATTAAAACAGATGTATTCTAAGTTAGGAATTCAAAAGGAAGAGGGCTTGATTGTTTTGACAATAGCATCCATTTGGTAGCTATTAAGGCTGGCAAATGCATCATGTTATATGTGGCACCTGCTAATCTGGGAGTGGGGAGCCTGTGTCACCCTCCTGGTGTTGCAAAACAACAACTCCCATAATCCTGGATCAAAGGCCATGCTGGCTTGAGCTGATGGAAATTGTAGTCCAACAACATGGGCACAACTATGACTCTAGTCCATATACGTGCAAAAATGCAGCAGGCATTTTGCACCTGAACCTCCTGAAATTTGAACCCTAGCTATTTAGGGATGGCAAGCAATAAAGTCAAACAATTAGCTCTGTGGCACGTTAAAGAATAGGAACTGTATTGTGTCATCAGCACTTTCATCGATTTGTTGCTATGAATGGTAATAGTTCTGTTAAGAAACATCTCTGATACTGTGGAATGGACTTTCATTTGCAAGTTAATGATTCCCCATACACAATCAAGATAAAACAGAGACAGTCCCAGGTAAGGTGGTTGACTGCCACATTATCCTCTCTTACTACTGAAAAGCGTTAAGTTCATTCACCCATGTTGGGAAAAGAATTAGAATATACACTGTGAGGAGTTGGGAAGTGGGTCTGATCTGAGAGCATCTCCTCTCTGAGGCAGACATAGGTACCGTACAGTCATTATAGCACTCCCTTAACTTTTCCATACATCTTTGCTGTAGATGTAACTGCTGGGAACACTCATGTCACTTGAAAGTAGTAGGGAAAGTGGTCTCAGTTGAAACAGAAACACTTACTATGTCTAATTGAATAGCCACTGAAAAGTTTTTGTTTTGTTTTGTTTTTTGGGTTTTTTTTGCTGCTGAATAACTACCCAATTTTGCATCTCTGTGAAAATAAATTGTGGGTTGATTTTAAATTTTGAGTTGCTATTATAGTTGTTGAATTTGCTGAATGTCTTCAGTATGTATCTTTAGGTTAAATACTGTATTGGCTGGAGTTGTAAACTGATTCTTTTGGGGTGGAGAAAGAATTGTGCATAGGGAAGACTGAAGATGCCACTTTTGATTTTTTGGTTTCTCTTTCTTCCAGTCTCAAGTTCAGTTTTCCAGATCAGTTTGCTTTTTTTTTTTTTTTAATGTCCTCATGAAAATTAGATAGCATTTTACTGCAAATTTCTCCTAACATACACATTTTTGCAAAGCAGCTATACCTGGTACTATACATTTTTATGTTATTTCTAGTAATATATGGGATTTTTTTAATGCACACTTTACCTTAGTATATGCATTTTGTAGACATTACTTAGAGGGATAATTACAGTGCAAGATTTGGGCAATTGCAAATTTCCAAGGACGACTGTGAATAAGTTTGCGTATTATTTCAGAAAGTGGAATTTAGGAATCTTTGCCTTCCAGTGTGAACAGAATCAAATTCCTCTCTAGTCCCTAGTGTGCACCAGACGGGCAGATGTAGCAGTCCTGTACTGAATGATGACACCTTTTAGGGCACAGAATTATGCTGAAGATCCATTGGCGTGGTGGTTGTAGGATTTGGTGTTGAAATACCACCACCCAAAAAAATGTCATAAAGTACACATCACGTATCCTGTGATGCAGTGGGTTAGTATGTCTGGCTGCTAACCAGAAGATTGGTGGCTCGAGCCCACCCAGGGATAGCTGTGGACAGGATTCCTGCATTGCAGGGGGTTGGACTAGATGACCCCTGGGGTCCCTTCCAACTCTCCAATTCTATGAGTCTACAATTCTATATGCCTGATGGAAGAGCCACTCCATCAGCAAGGATATGTTGGCAGAACAGCTAAAATGGAACAGAACTGTGGGCAGGAGGTATTTGTTTTTCATTAAATGCACACACACCAACCAGAATTGCATGTCTCTTTCAACAGCCTCATTCACCCAAACACAATCCTTACTTTGATTGAAGGTTTGCTTGATGTGGTTATTTGGTACTCTCCCAGAGCTGGGATTGACCAATCGATTGGTATTTTCCCAGGGTAGACTTATTTCTTGCTGCATGCAAAGTAAACTATATGGTGCAATATTATGGTGGAAAAACCATCTGAACAGAACTCCACTGACTCATGTGGAGCATGCCTCATGCTCTTCGCATACATGCAGGGGGATTTTAACATCTAGCTTTGAATTTTGATTCTGGCCATGTGGAAGAGCTCAACATCTTCGGGGATGGTTGCTCCAGACAAACCATGATAACCTCTGTTTGTCTTCCTAAATGTGTTATGGCTTCTGTAGCCACATGTTGTGTAGCTATAGAAGTAAAAGGCTTCTATAATTAAGGAAACATTCCCATATCCTTGTCCAAATAGCCAATTGTTGTTTCATATCTACTCACTCCTGTGCTTATGGCGAAAATAAAGCAGTAACAGCAGTTGCATTTGTTTTGCCCCTTAAATTATATTGCTTAAACAAATTGTACTTTTAAAAAACAACCCTTCAGTTAAGGGAAAGATGTCACAAAGGCTGCACTCACATTTCATGGCCTTTCAGCTCCACAGTTTATAACCCCAGTTGCATGTCCATGTATATACCAGCAAACTAAGTATAACATTTCATGCAACCAATAAAATAGGATCTAGATCACAAAAACATTTGCCAGCACAATCCTAGAGTGTTTATGTGGAAGAAAGTACCACTGAATCAGTGAGACTTACTCCCAGCAAAGTGGATACGTATTGAAGCAGAGCAGTCCTGTGAAGGCCAGGGAGTCTCTCATGGAGGAAATGCCACTTCATAAGAGACCTTTTTTTATCTCTTTACTTGTGGGCTGCATTGTTGAAACTTTTGAAAGCTGCTTTACTTTGCTGTGCAAAAACACCACAAACCCCTTTTACTGTGTTTGTGAGAGCTTTGTGAGCTTTAATATAGACTCTGCAGGGAAGAAGACGAAGACGAAGAAGCCATTTAAGAACATAAGACTTGCACTGGGCCAAGAGGTGATGGGGTGGCTTTTCCCCACTTTTATACTTAGTCCTCTTTTTGTTACAAATTTCCCTTCCCTTATTTTCCCTGTGTCTTTTATTTAGGGTGACACAGATTCTGCATTTGTGTGTGTCAGGAGGAGGAGACCACTAAGCCTTGTGGAATAACTCGCTGAGTTTTAAGCATTTTCCTGGAGCTAATGTGAGGTGTATTCTGTTACGTCTTAGATGACAACTTAACTGATTTTTAAATGATCTTATTTACAAATACTAGGGGGCATGCCAAATGATAAAAGAGAAGGCAGACCTCACCTTAGTTAAAAGTTAAAAGCAATGGGTTACTATCACAAGCAGATGGATATGGTAAGAGATAAGAAAGAAGAGAAGGCCCAATGCAGAAGAAGAAATAAATGAATTGTGAGCTTTGCAACTGACTCATTGCTGAGTTTTGAACCTGTGTTTCTCAGTGCATATTGCTGTCTAACTGTGGCCACAAGGAGTGATGTAAGCCAGCTTGAGTTGTGAGCTGGCAGTTTGCCTCTGAAAGCAAATCACATGATTTTGAGGAAAGCTCAGCCGCCTGCTGGGTGTGCTTGTTTGTTTTGCACTAAAGCGGGGGAGGGAAACCCAGTTAGTGTACAGTAGATGCAACAATCTTCTATCTTTCATTTGGTTTTTTGTGTTTCCAGGGTGCAGAGTGTGTAGTTTAAATGGAAATCATGTCCCACAAAGAGCCTATGATGTTCACGTTGGACAATTAAAACTGCAAACACGCTTACTAAGCAGTAAAAAACCATATAACTCAGTGGGACTTACTCCTGGGTAACCTAGCTTAGAACTGGAACTGAGCTAACAACATACAGTGGTACCTCGGGTTACATATGCTTCAGGTTACAGGTGCTTCAGGTTACAGACTCCGCTAACCCAGAAATAGTGCTTCAGGTTAAGAACTTTGCTTCAGGATGAGAACAGAAATTGTGCTCTGGTGGTGCGGCGGCAGCAGGAGGCCCCATTAGCTAAAGTGGTGCTTCAGGTTAAGAACAGTTTCAGGTTAAGAACGGACCTCCGGAACGAATTAAGTACTAAACCTGAGGTACTACTGTATTGTTTCAAAAGTCTGGTGTTTGGCCCTCTCTCTGCCAAGTGGCAGCAAGAGCCCATGGGGACACAGGCAAACACACAGCCTCTGTGTCCCTTTGGAGAATACAGTCATACCTCGGGTTACAGACGCTTCAGGTTGCGTTTTTCTTGGGTTACGGAACCACCAAAACCTGGAAGTACTGGAACAGGTTACCTCCGGGTTTTGGGTGTCGCGCATGCGCAGAAGTGCCAAATCGCAACCCGCATGTGTGCAGATGCGCTGCTGCGGGTTGCAAACACTGCGGATTGCGAACGTGCATCCCGCACGGATCACGTTCACAACCTGAGAGTCCACTGTAGAAGACATATGGCTTATTCACCTATTTACACCTTCAATCTGCATGGAGGGAGTCCAGATCTTACACCATGGCCCATGGCACTGCTGGCAATCTTCTCTCTGTCCTTCTTCCTCCTTCTTCCCAGGAATCCCTGCTTCAAAACTCCCTTTTCCTGTCTGCTCAAACATATACCCCATCACCATGGTAACATCTCTCACACACCCCAGGCTAAAGGATTCCTCTCCTCAATGGCCCATCATTGTTCCCTTAATGGCTCTAGTTTGGCCAGGTTGGTTTACATAAGCCAGCCCAGAAATTTCCTGAATTTCCTGTCTGGCACAGTTCTGCACTTTAATCCATATCCCAATTAATCAGAACCATGGCATTAATTAATTTCTAGGGTTTACCATATCTATAACAATATCAACATCAAATGCAGTCCTTTCCCCCATCTGACTTAATGATGAGAAATAATCCAATGACTGACTGTAGTCCACCATGGTGAATTCTCTGCTTTTAAAAATGCAGGTTGTTTGGGTGTTGTTTTGGGAACACATCGCGGATACAACGCTGCACACGGTATTTCAAATTTTGTCACACATTGACAGCACTTATACATGGAATATAAAGGAACCCACAGGGGGGGGGGGGAGGTTGTAGAACCCATGTTTTTGGAAGGAGGGTTCCTGTGTTAGCATTCTATGAGCTGTAATAAAAAAAATAAGGTCTTATATATATAATAAATGTTCATAAATGTACCAAGCAAACACATACATTAATATATAAACTACATGTCTGAAGCAGCACAGGAAGACAGTCCTGAAACCATTTTGACTCCCAAACTGACCAAATGTTTCTCTGAAAGGAGGGAGGGGGTGAGGGAACCTTCCCAATTGTCTCAGGAAGTGGGTAATCACCATCTCAAAGGAATGGCCAGACTACCAGAAAAGGCAATCAGATAAGGCATTATCAGATAACCTGGCAGATAGGAAAAACAACAACATTCAAATTTCTGTTGTAGACTGCCTTTTCAGTGATGTAGGTATGTTTGTGGCGGGTGGTCTTGGGCTACACCCCTTCTATGATGTATGTATGATATATGGAGGGGTGGTCTTGAGCTCCAGGGCAGGGAATTTCAAAATGTCTATATAAGGGCAAGCACACATGGTTCGGGGTCCTCCTCCTCTCTCCTGCGTGTGGGGGGAGACCCTGTTGCAACAGTTTGATAAAGATCAGGCTTACTAGCTGCTTTGCTTCTCAATATTCTCTGGTTGGCCTCTGTTATTTTCTCCTACCAATGGAGAACCTACAAAGGACTCTATAAGGGCTCTTGTGTACCCCATAACGGAATAAGGGCAGATTTTGTTTACAACAGTGGCTTGAGTGTCAGACTAGGTCCTGCGAGACCAGGGTTCAAATCCCCACTCAGTTATGAAGCTCGCTGCATGACCTTTAGCCCGTCACTCACTCTCAGCCTGACCTACCTCACAGGACTGTTGTGGGGAGGAGGGGGAGAACCATGGGCATCACCTGGACCTCCTTGGAGGAAAAGATGGGGTACAAATGCAAAGAATAATTAAAGGACGGTGATACACACCCACACATCTGGGATGGCTTGTATCAGAGATGTCAAATTGCAGCCAATGTTTAAGTAGTTCTCATATTCCAAACAAATGGTTTCAGATCTGCCAGCTTCCCCACAGTGTAGGTGAGTGCCTTTAGGGTTCGATTCTCCTATGTGTGACTATGAAATCCAATAAACCTTGTTTGCAATCTGCTTCATTATCTTTTTTTTAACATGAAGAGCTACAGGACTTTGCATTGTTTCTGCTGAGGTTCCCAAGATTATGCTATTGGTAATGAAAGCAAGCCGTGTGCAGGGGACGCCTGCTCAAATCAAAACAAAATATGCTGCTGTCCTAGCAACCGTCTGAAGCAATCCATGCAATTCCATTTTATCTGTTAAGTTAAGGGGGAAACAAAAGGACGACTGACAATGTGAACTGGCAAGATCCTGCATGCCAGGGAGAGAAAACCACACACAACTGGGCAAAAATTGGGTATAGCAAGAGAAACTGAGATTCCCTAAACACCATTCAGATCCCTTGAGAAATGTTGGCCTTGAAGAAGAGAATAAAGCCGGTGATCCTCTTAAACGCCCTTCCTGCAAACACAGCCTGGCTGTCAGCCACCCTCATTCATTTACCAGCCTCCTTATTCCTATGACCAGTTGGGAACATGCGTACAAGAGAGGTGCTTCAACAGCAGCTGCTGTCATGGCAAAGTACAGGCCACAGCTATC